CGAGCGGGTGGTGCGCGCCTGTCGTGTGCGGGAAGCCGGCCGGCACGTAGAGCAATTGCCTGCCACTCACACCCGCTCGGAATCAGCAACGAACTGCCGACGGGCGGGCGTCGCAGAGCGGCTGCCCCGGCGTCAGCACCGTCTCGAGAAGCGGCTCTCCCAGCTCCGAGAGGCGGAGCTTGTCGTCGCCTATCCGTCCCCCGGCCCAGGAGCAGTGAACGAGGAGCTCGTGGCCGGCACCGAGAGGCGGAGCTTGACGTCGCCCTTTCCACGCGCGAGAGGGTCCGAGCCGGGTCGGCGGGACGGCGGCGGCGGCTCGTACACCCGCCAGTGCTTTGCGCCTATCGGGGGGTGCGCCGGCTCGGCGGCGCCTTCTCGCGCGGCTCGCGGCCGCCGGCTGCTTAGCGCCGCTCATCTGCAGGACAAAGACGTCCTGCTTGTCGGTGTGCGGCGGGGCGGACTGCTTGACGCTCGGGCCGGTGAGGTACATGTTGAGGCAGTTGGGGAGCCCGAACGCGCGCAGCGCCGCCAGGCAGATGGCGCCGAGCTTGGGCACGTGCGCGCCCGCAGAATTGAAGACAACCGTCCCGCGCTCTATGCCCGCCGCGACGTCGACGTACCGCAGCTTGGCGTCCTCGTACGAGGAGCCGCGCGGCTGCGAGACTGGCGCCATCTTCCAGCCGCCCTCCGCCGTCGGCACACCGAGCCCCGCCTCCAGAAAGTCAGAGTCCACTGCCTCGCGCACGTCGTCCAGCGTAAACGAGCCGGCGACGCCGGCGATGGGCTCGGCGACGAGCAGCGGCTTGCGCGCCCAGACGTCCGCGGCGAAATCGGCGTCGCGCGCAAGCACCTCGAACGCTCGGTAGTACGTCTCGGCGAGCTCGATGTTCTCGGCGGGCGCGCTCGGCCAGTCCACGCCGCTGCCGCTGCCGCTGCTGCCGGCGGCGTTGGCGCACGCGGGGGCGTGGCGCGGCGCCACGCGAGCACGAGGCGGAGCGAGCGTGCTCGCAGTTGCACCGAGGACGAGGTGGAGCGCCATCGGAATTCTTTTTTCCCAGCGGGTTTGGAGGAAGAGGATAATGGGGGAGGGAAGGGAAAGTAAATAAAAAAGAAAAAGAACCACGTCCGCCGCATCGCCCTTTGGGGCCGCGATTTGTATGGCGCCGCCGCTCGAGGCGCGCGTGCCTCGCGCCCCGGCTGGTAATTTCAGCCGCAAGCAGCGCGAGCTTCGCATCAAGCGCGGCCTGCTACTACCTCCGGCCTGGCGCGTGCCGACCGAGCGCAGCCTTCACTTCTTCTTGAAGGGCGTGTTGTGCTGTGCGGAGCTCCTCGACACCATCCAGACCTGGCGGACTGGTAAGGAGAACACGCTGCGTCGGATCGCCGAAGTAATAACGCGACAGCTGATATCCAACACGCCTTCGTCGCGACACGCGCTCATCAAGCGCTTGGTCCGCGACGCGCTGCTGAGCGACAGCGAGGGCAACTACTACTCGATCGCAGCTACCGAGAAGAGGTTGCGCCACCTCGACTACGAAGACTGCTGCGCGCGTGATCACTACACGAGTCGCAGCTACGGCAAACGCTTTCACCCCTACGTCCTTTACAGGTTCATCCTGTTCTTGCAGACGCGCAGCGAATTGTTGCGCTCTAAGATTGAGCAGACGGCATCCTGCGCCGTGTGCAAGGAGCGCGCCGCGCGCCGCGCCGAGGAAGGCGGCGTCCCCGTCATCTGGCGGCAAGCGGAGCCGTGCCGCCATTGGACTTGCGATACGTGTACCCGCGACCTCGCCGCCCGCGGCATGGCCAACCACTGCAGCTTGTGCCGGGCAAGGGTGATCTCCTACCCGCTCGGCGTTGCGCCCGGCGCCAACCAGAGCTGACGCTCCATCTAGGGCGGGGCCGGTGCGCGTCGGTGCACCCGGCTCCGCGTGCTGAGCGACCGTCTAGCAGTGTCGTGTGTGGTACCGCGAGCGACGCATAGTCGTGTGTATGTCTCGCTCTCCCTCTCGGCGGTGGCCGGTGCGTCGAGCGTGACGGGGATGAGATACGAATCTCTCGATCGCCCGAGGTAAGGTAATTTTTCAACGTGGTGGGGGAGGGCCGGGGCAACCCGCGCAACTCCACACCCACACCCAGACCCACGCGCGCCTTGAATCACTATAGTATCATGCTAATTGCTATTACTAATCGCGGTGTTGTCTTCCGCCTGGTCGTCTAGGCTCTAGCATGGTAGGGCAACGGCTTGAGTGAGCGCTCATCTCGGTTCTCGCTCGCTCTCTCGAACCACGGCTCTCGATGTATGTCTCTATCATCCGTGTAGTGTCTCTCTCGCGTCTCGGCACGGCCTCTCCAACCTCTCGCGGGCTCAGCTATCCGTGAGTCTCGCTCTCTAAGGGTGTGGACGAGTATCTCGAATCTCGCGCGCTCTCTACGTGCGCACAAACAAACTGTGTCCCGCCGAGGAGGCGCCTCACGCCAGTCGATGGCCGGCCGGCAACGCCTCTGCTCGGCACCGCCATCGGGAGATGGCGGGCGGCCGGGGGAAGCGGCTCGCGGGCCTACACGCTAGCCGCCTCGGCCTTGGCCGCGGCCTTGGCCGCGGAATTGGTCTGGCGGCAGAGCGGGCAGGGCCCGCCGGTGGCGACGGCGAGGTTGACAGCGACGCGGCCGTCGCCGGCCGCGCTCAGCGCGCTCAGGCTGGCGCACACGCGCGCCTGCTTCGAGCGCACGTGGTCGCCTGCTGGCATCGTGTCGACGGGCACGTCGCGGCTCGCCATCGCCGCCTCGCTCATGTCGAGGTCCGGGTCGTGGGCGTGCTGGGTGAAGGCGAGCGTCGGCGGCGCGGAGACCTCGCCGCCGCGCGGCGCCGCCTTGACCTGCTGCTTGTAGGAGATGTAGTCGTGCTCCCAAACCTCCACGACGACGTAGCCCTCGGGGCGGGTCGTGCCGTCGAGGCCGAGGTGCGGCCCCTTGATGTACTGCTCGGTGCGGCCTGCGCAGGGGGAGGAGGCTAAGCCACGAGCCGAGGTGGGCGCATGGCGGGGCGGAGCGGGGCGCGCACGGCGCGTCTTGTTGCACAGCGCCGGGCCCCACTGGTGCCCGACGCCGAACGTCTCGTGCAGCGGGTTGCCGGCGGGGAACCCGTGGAACCGGTTGCCGTGGAACTGGTAGGCGACGAGCGCGCCGTCGGAGGCGCGGCGGCACACCGCGTCCACCTTGATGCGAGGGTGGTCGGCGAGGATGCCCGCCTCCCAACCTATTCACGGAAGGAGATGTGAAGAGGCGCGCTGCTCACCGCGAGCGAGGGGGTTGGCGGCGAGCGCGTGCACCCTCGGGCTCCTCGCCGACCTCGAAGTGCACGTGGCGCAGCACGACGAGACCCTCCTGCTTGGCGAGCACGTGCAGCGCCTCGCACGCCGCGTGCGAAGCGCCCGCCCTGTGGGAGGACTTGGTGCCCGCCTCGACCGCGTGCTTTGAGCAGAGCTGGTGCGGGGCCGAGCGGCCGGCGGCGTCGGGAGGGCCGTCGAAACCGGCGCAGACGAGCTCGCCCTCGCGGTCGCACACCACGCAGTAGTAGTGCGACGAGTTGCCCGGCCACGGCACGTTGCGGCTGAGGTACTCGGACCTAGGGGTGTAAAGAGACACGGTTTACTGCCGTGGCGAGCCGTCGGCGAGCAGAGGCGCGAGTCGCGCCGCGAGCAGGTCGCGCAGATGTTGGGCGTGTCGAAGAGCGACGGGTTCTTGAACCCGTAGCCCTCGAAGGGCTTGCCGCAGCCGCCGCACTCGCGGCAGTCCTCCGGCGAGCGGTGCACGCGGTCGATGTGCCTCGGGAGGGACGCCGGCAGCATCAGCGCCTCGCAGCCCGGCTCGGTGCAGGTGCAGGTCCGCCGCTGCTCGATCGACCCGAGCAGCGCGCTGCAGGAGCGGCGGCGGTGCTGCTCCAGGTAGCTAGGGACGACCTCGACGCCGCAATCTGGGCAAGCCACCCGCCGCTCCTCGGCCGACCCGAGCAGCGCGCTGCAGAAGCGGCGCTGGTGCTGCTCCAGGTAGCTAGGGACGACCTCGACGCCGCAGTGCGGGCAAGCCACCCGCCGCTCCTCGGCCGACCCGAGCAGCGCGCTGCAGAAGCGGCGCTGGTGCTGCTCCAGGTAGCCAGGGACGACCTCGACGCCGCAGTGCGGGCAAGCCACCCGCCGCTCCTCGATCGACCCGAGCAGCGCGCTGCAGCCGCGGCGCTGGTGCTTCGCCAGGTGGAGGAGCTGCTTGCCGCAGTGCTCGCAGTTCCCGGCTTGCGACCGCTTCCGCTTCTTGCCACCGCCGCCTGCTGCCGACAAGCGCTTCACTGCACAGTCTGGCACTGATCCGCTGTTGGCGGCCATGAGCAGCGAGCGGACGTCGCCGAACACCGCCTCGGCATCCTCGAGCGCCTTCTGCGCCGCCTCGCTCTCTGCCGCCTCGCGCCCCCTCGCGCTAAGCTTCCGCTCGCGCACCATGATCCGTCCCTCGCACACACTCGCGAAGAGTGATAGGAAAATACGGTCCAAGCGTGCCACTCTAGCCCCGCCTGCCGCCCAGATACCGAGGGGGCTGAGTCCACGGTCAGGGTGCCGAGCTATTGTGTAAACGCTCCGTAGAGAGCCACCAGCCGGAGAGTGGCTCAGCCGACAGCCCCAGGCCCGGCGGGCCCCAGGTCCCACAACCTCTGAGACCGCCTAAGCACCTAAGCGGCCTAAGCGGGGGGGGCGCTTAGGGTGCTTAGGTGCTTAGGTCGCCCTCGCGAGCGTAGCTACGTGCTGACATTATCATACGAGTGATCCTGAGTACCCACATGATGTGCCTGCCTATCGCTAAGCACGGGATTGCGGCCTCACAACGCTCACGCGCCAGAGCGCTGGAAAAGAATTCTTGTAAGACCGGCCTCTCTCACAGCACACTGGCACGACAAGGGCGCGGACTGGCGCGGACTGGCACACACACCGGCTCACCACCGGAGCCGCCTAAGCGACTCCGTTAAGAACGGCAATGCACTCCGCACCATGCACAATGCCGCTCTCCCCGCACGCTAGCTCGTTCACCGTCTGCCACGCCACGGCGGTGTGGAGGACGACAGACAAGCGCTGCATCTGCAGCCCGTGCCAGTTCTTGGTGGTCCATGTGACCTCGTCCAGGTGCTGAGCGTGCGAAAGTTTGTTGCTCAGCTGGTTCGCCGCCTCCCTCAGGGTGCTGCGAACCTCCTTTCCAAAGCCTCCGAAAGCCTCAAAATCAAAATCACACTGGAAAAGAAAAGCCAATCCGCCTCGCTCCTGGAGGTGCCTGCTTATTTATTTACTCCACAGACTCCGAGAGCGAGACTGACCCGAGTCCCGTCTTGGCTCTTGCTTCTACATCTTGCCAGACTTCTCGAGACCTCGGTAGCCGTATATTGGTATGAAGATTGAACGACCAATGAGTGTGAATGTGTCACTTGCACCGACCACTGTGCCCGCGCCCAAGACAACAAGCCCCCGCTCCAGCCGACCCGCTCTCCACCTCTGCTTTCGAAAGAGGCCCGAGCGGTGGCTTTGCTGGAGAAGCCGAGCCGAGCAGCGAACCCGGGCCCTAGGCCACGTGGCCCGCACTCCCCCCCCCCCCCCCCTCCCCCTCCCGCCCGGTGGCGCTCCCCCGTTGACCGCTGATTGCAGACGCGGCCTTGCGCAGTAGTGGAGCAGCCGATCAGACCCCCTCCGCCCCCAGCCCCCACCGCCCTCCCCGTCCTCTCCCTCACGCCCCCTCCCGAGGCCGCTTCGCCGCCCTCTCCCCCACCGCCGCCGCGTCGCGCATAGGGCTCACGCCGCCGTCGGGCAGCTGCAGCAGGTCTAGCGTGTCCACACGGCGAACGGAGAGCGGCAGCCCGCTCGGGTCGCCGCCGGCGGAGCACGACGCCCCGCCGCCGCCGCCCGACTGCTTCGCCAGCCGGTCGTCGAGACTGCCATGAGCTGGCCGCAGCGGTAGGCTGGCCGCCACTGCCGCCGGCGCCGCCCCGGCGAGCCGCGGCGTCTCGACGGCGCCGAGGGTGGTCGCGAGGTACTCGCTGGCGGCAGAGATGGTCTCGGTCGACATGGCCGAGATGGACAGCCGCCGCCCTGGCACGGGCGGCGCCTCGCCCGCAGGAGCAGCGTCGGCAGCGGCATCGCCAGCGTCAGGAGACACCTCGGCGGCGCCGACCTCCTCCGAGAAGGAGCCGAGCGTGTCGACCCGATGCAAGCCGATACTCTCCGGGAAGGGCTCCTCCTCCCCGCCCTCCTCCTCCTCCTCCTCCTCCGCCACAGACTCGGAAAGGTCGCCGTCCTGCTCGTCAAAGACCTCACTGCCGTCGCGCTCCGACTCGGAGGCCTCGCTGTTGGCCGCCGAGGCCTCGCTCAAGTCGTGGAAATAGGCATTAGAGGTTGTGGACGACTGTCCTGGCGCACCAGGCCTTGTGGCAGGCATAAAGAGCGAAGATTAGGGCCCCAAACGATTTGCCTGGATGCAGGGCGAAAAAAGAATTTTGTCGGCCCACTTAGAAGCCGTCGCCCTCGCCATAGAGGAAGTCGTCCTCAGGAAAAAAGAATTTTACAACGAAACTCCCTTGCCTAGGCACGGGACTGGCGCCGAAAGGCGAAAGAAGCCGCGAGAACAAGCCGGACCGGTAGGCGGCGGCGTCGCAGGACGAGGCAGAAGAGAGCGTGCCGCGGGTGCTGGTGCGAGAAAAGTCGAACGAATGCATGCGCACGACCGCGGGTCCTAAGAGCTACGACACGATGTCCGGACCACGCCCGAGGACGAGAGCCCAAGGAGGCCTCGTGCGCACCTCGCTCCCGGTGTAGCTCCGCTCCCGACAACGCACAAACGCGAACGGACAAGCGAGCGCGGGGTCGAGCGGGGCTAAATACATGTAAGACGGCGACCCGACACGGCCGGCGGGGCGTTCCGCGACTGTGCCAGCGCACCCGCCCGGTCCATCCGTACAGCTGCTCTACTACAGACGCCTTAGGGCCGTCTCACACGCGTACAAGCATACGACACATGGCATGCACGATATCCTGTAATGACTGATGGGCTCATGGATGGGCTGTGCTTGCGTCGAGTCTCGAGTGAAAATCTGCGCAATCTCTCTCACGACTGTTCCCTGCTGCAAAGGCGGCTCAAAATGGGTACGGGTCCTCGTAGATGGTCCCGACACCGTTGTCGCGGAGCATCCTCTTGAGCTTGAAGCACGGCGAGTTCATCCAGTTCGGCATGTGGTGGCACTCCCACAGCCACACGTCGACGAGCCGCAGCGTGCCGTCCGCGACCATCTTGGGCACGATCTTGTGCTCGCCGCCCTCGACGTCCATCTTGAGGATGACAAAGTCGGCCTCGGTGAACGAGGCCCGCAGCCACGCCGAGAAGTCGACCATCGCCACGCGGTACTTCTCCGTCGAGGGCGGCGGAATTTTCGACAGCGTGCGCCCGCCCACCAAGAGCCCGACGTCGCTGTCCACCATCGCCAGCGTGCCCTCGCTCTCGCCGGCCGCGGCCGGGAGCATGACGTAGCTGCTGGTGCGTGCGACAGTGCAGCGCTTCCCCAGCGCAAGCCGCTCGCGGAGCAAGCCCGGCGCGCTCAGCGCTGGCACGGGCCGCACGCGCGACAGGTTCTGCGCGAGCGCGCCGATCATACAAGGCAGCAGCAGCTGCCGGCGGTAGACTTTGACATCGTGCAAGGATTCTGGCCGAAGGCCGAGCTGCGGCATGGAGCAGTTGTACGAGGACGCGTACTTGGCGAGCTCCTTGGAGCTGCCGGCCGGCGGCAGCGGCGGCTCCGGCAGCGGCTCGCCGGCCGAGAGCGCGCGCGCGCACTGGTCGGCGAACGGCACGATGCGCCGCGAGGCCTCGAAGCCGAAGACGTGCCAGTTCGTGCGGCCGCGCGCCTGCGGCACGCGCTGGTTGAGCGTCAGCGTGTTGCACCAGTTCACGCCCGCGTCGATGTAGACGTTGCGCGGCGCGCACGTCGGCGTCGCGCAGGGCGGCGCGATGCACGTCATCGTCGCGCTGATCCCGGTTTTGTTGCGCCCAGCCTATCCTACCACCGGTATATGCCATCCGCCGTTCACGGCGTCATTCCACACGCTCCCTTCTCGTTCTTAGATACACGTGATATCGTAGATAAGTTGTAGGAGCTTCTTCTCTTTTGGTGTACCTGTGTTAGTGCCAGTGCGCGCCAGTCCCGTGCCCAGTGTTGTGCCAGGGAGCTTTGTTGTAAAATTCTCTTTTGCACAGGCACGATTCCGACGACGGCTTCTGTGAGGACGACGGCTTCTATTAGAAGCCGTCTCGTCCTCGCTTTGCCTGTTGTGTGAATCGTGGCTGTGCGAGAGAGCTTCGTAGTAAAATTCTCTTTTGCACAACTACTCGTCGCCCTGAAATGGTTGGGCAGGTTAGCCTCAGGGCACGATGCCGATCAGGTTGGAATTTTCTGATGATTGGAGGGTCTATCTGTATGTACTCCTCGAGATCTCTCCAAATCTGCCCTCTGTTAGACCGGGTTAGATCGGGAAGTCGGTGCTAGTAGAGACTAGTAGAGCCGGGGCCCCGTTTCCGCACTGCCAGAGGTCACCAGGTCTGACTGTCACTGTGCTATTTCGCTTTTCGGGGCCCGGGGTTGTGCGTTTATGTGAATTCCGCTCGCTGCAAGCCCTATAGGTAGGTAGGCTGACGCAATGAGACACGCTCCGCTCCAGCCGCCGAAGCCTCCGAAACGTCTAACCGCCCGCCGCGCTAACTGACTCCTCATCACCTCCCTACCAACATACAGAGGGAGAAAGGTGAAAACATCCAGGCTCGGACTGGACACCAACGCGGTATGGGTGGACGCGAGACAGATGATGACGACACGCACGAGCGACACACAGACACAAACAATCATGCCCGCTCCGGGGCGACCCGGGCGCCCTCCGACCAAACTGCTCTATCTAAAGATAAAGGGCCTCGCGTCGTCCGCCGCTTATCCCCGTTGTAGTGAGCTCAGAGCGAGGGTCTGTACCGAGGCGTACAGGAACGATCAAACCAAGATGTGTCAGTGTGAGGGGTGCACCAACCGCAGAGCGTTGTGTTTTGACTTTAAGACTTGAACATTTTTTTTTTAGCGAGCCCGCTCTGACCTCATACCCGGGTACCCAAAGACCGAAATCCTGTGCCATGTCCCGCTCTCTAGCCATCCAGGAGAGCCTGCTCTCCGACCACCTCGAGTCGCTGCAGAGGCGGTCGACCCTCGAGACGGGCCTGCTGCTGGCCCACGTCGGCGCCCAGGCCGACGCCGTGCTTCACTTTGTGCCGACGCCGAGCCAGGACGACGGCGCGCCGCAGGTCGACGCGTCGTGGATGGTCACGCACGCCGAGGCAGTGTCGCACATGCTCCCGGGCGGGATCGCGGTCGTCGGCGCGTACCTCTTCTCGCCGAGCGGCGCCTTTGCCTCGCACGAGGCCAAGCTGCGGCCCGTGCTCGCGGCGGCGCTCAAGCGGCTCCGCGAGGCGGACGGCACGCAGTCGCTGCTGATGCTCCTGCCGAGCGACGCGCGCAAAGCGACCGCGCGCGCCCTCGTCGCCGGCTCGGCCTCGCTCAAGCCGATCGAGCTCAAGACGACGATCTCGCCGCCGCGGCTCATCTGCCTCGAGGCGGCGTGGGTGGTGCAGGCGCAGCTGCGGCTGCTGCCTCCGGGCGCGGGCGGGCCGCCGCAGCTGGCGCAGCTCAAGATGCAGCTCGCGCCCGTGCTCCGCTGCCTCGACGCCACCACGGCGACGGTCGACGGCTCGTGCTGGCCCGCGGGCGCGCTCTGCTCGCAGCTCGCCCAGGGCGGCGCGCCGCACTCTGTCCGCCTGTTTGGCGCCTTCCGTGCCGCAGAGGCGGCGGCGGGCGAGGGCGGCGCGGAGGGCGGCGAGGACGACTTTTTGGGCGAGGCGGCTCCGCGCGGGCCGGCCGCGACGGTGCGGCTGCGAGGCGTCGTGCGCGGGCGCGCGTTTGCGGCGCCAAAGGAGGCGGTGGAGGAGGGGGTGCGGCGTCTGAGGCGCGACCTCGCCTGCTCGCTCGAGCGGCGCGTGGCGCTGCTGCTCGAGGACCTGGCCGAGGAGGAGGAGGAGGAGGGCGGAGGCGTGGACCCGCGCGACCCGCTGCCGACGGCCGTGCCGGGGGCGTGGGCGCTGCCTCGGCGTGCGCACTTTGCGGTGGGCGGCGGGCTGTCTCTGTGCGACTACGTGGCTGAGGGAGACGACGCGGCGGAAATGAGCCGAGATGAGCCGCGATGCGCCGAGATGCGCCGAGATGAGCCAGATCGCGTACCACGCGGCGGACTCTCACCGCAGAGGCGAGTGGTGCACGGGGGAGAGCTTGGTATGTGAGCTTGGTGCGTGAGCTGGGTATTTGCCGGGAGAGCTGGGCGCGCTTGCTAAATGGGTATTTGCTTGAGCAGGCGGACTTTGCCGAGCGAGTGCGCGAGATCGTCGGGCCGAGTCTGGCGGCGGGGCTGGACGGGCTGGGCGACGGGGTGGGCGAGGGGACGCTCGAGGCGCCTAGCACGCGCACGAACCTCTTCCTTCATCTCCTCCGCGTCTCCCCTCCCCTCCCCTCTTCTGCTCTCCTCCTCTCCTGTCCAGCTCTCCTCCTCTCTCCTCTTCTGTCTCTCCCCGCCCTCTCGCTCGCCCCCCGCCGCGCTCCTCCCCTTGCGAGAAGGACCAAGACACCCCCCTCTGCTCCCCGACACACACCCGCCCCTCTCTCCCTACCTCCCAGGCGCTGCTCGCCCCCGAGGCGGCCGCACATCTCGAGACAGAGCCGGCGCCAGAGCGCGGGGAAGGAGCAGCACTTGCCGCCGCGCCTGCAAAGCCCCCCGCCAACCCGCCGCCTCGTCAGAGCAGCAGCTTGCCCCTCTTCGCCGCCGCCGCCGCCGCCGCGCTGGCCGTGGTCGTGGCGCTCGTTTCGCTGCTGTTTACCTCGCCGCCGCTGGACACTGCCGAGGCGCAGGCGGAGGCGGCGGCCGACGCCGTGGCCGACGCGGCTGGATCTGATGGGCCGTAGATGCCGTGCTCATGAGCATATGGCCGCACTCCGGACGGAGCGAGAATGATGCCAGGGTGTCAGCTGTCCTGCCGATGGCGCCCACTCTGATGGGGCTCTCTGGGTTAGACGGACGCGCAGCAAAAAGAGCCGTATCGGTATTAATGTGTACGGTCGGCCCTGTGAGCCCCCGGCCTCTCCCGCCGCGGGCGCGCTGGGTTGGTGTGGGTGACCCTAGAACGTAGAAGCCCTATGCTGAAGCTCGACCCCCCACGCCCCAGCGCCCAGGCCCTCAGGCCGCTCGACCCCACCGCCTCCGCCACGCGCGCACGCCACACAATGCACAAGACGCGCAAGAGAGCTCCTCTGACGTTTAAGCCACAAACGCGTTATAAGCCTACGGAGCCTTCCGCTCGGGCGCCGGACCCTCCACCAACAACGCCTTTAGTCGCTCAAACCCCTCGGGGCTGTACTCGCACTGGAACATGTCGCCCCTGTTGAGCCGGAACAGCTCGGCCGCGTTGCTGCAGATCTTGGCGAAGACGCAGACCTCGAGGAAAAAAACGTCGCCGTTGGCAAAGTCCGTCGCGGGGTTGCACTGCCCGGACCGGCCAGTCTGCAACGCGTAGCCTCTGCAGGCGCCAAACTTGGTCGAGCCGTGCGACCCATCCAGCCAGAGCTCGTGCGGGGCCGTCGCAAAGACGATCGCTCTAGAGCCCTGCCTCGGCAAGCGTCCCCTCGCCGCGCAGACCTGCCACTCAAAGTTCCGGCAAGTGTTCCACTCCACTGCTCCGTTTGCGAACGCCGACGACGTGGGCCGCAGCTGGAGGATGTTGTAGCCCGCACGGTCGCAATCGCCTCGGCCATCGCACACGTTGTAGATGTCTGTATCGTGGCCCAAGAGCGCGGGAGCGTCCCCCCTGTCTCCAAAATCGCCGCTGTTTTGGTGCGAGTCGGCGTACCAGTTTTCGTGGCAGTGGACGCCTTGCTCGATATCATGAAAGGAGTTCGCGCTCGAGACGCGCTGGCCCCAATGGGCGCGAGCCACGTCAAAGCACGACGGCTGGCTGTGCCGACCTTGGCGCCGCGCCTGCACGCCCCACATCTTGCGAAAGAGCGAGTGGGGGTCGGCGAGCATGCGGTCGCACGTGTACTGCGTTAGATGCTGGGTCACGGGCGGCGTCGCCGGCGGCGGCGCCGGCGGCCGCGGGGGCAGCGGCGGCAGCGGCGGCAGCGCCAGGTGACGCTCCGCCTCGAGCTTGTACCCGGCGCCGAGGTCGAGCAGGAAGCGCGCATGCCCCCAGTGGGGTGCGGGTGCACACGCTTGCACGTGGGAGGCGGCGCTGAGGGAGCAGGGGGGTGGATGAGGGTTAGAGGGGAGGCGCATCGGGAGGATGCGGGAGGGGTTGCGAGGGGAGGAAGTCGGGCAACTGCTAGGGGGACGCGGCGCCTGAGCACGAGGTCAACGCAGAGTTTATCGGCGTTGATCTGACAGACGTGGCCATCGAAGCGGAGCCACGATGTCCCGTTGGCAGTCCGTGCCCACTCGGACGCGCGAAGTACGGCGGCGGTTTCCGGCTCTTCGGGGGCGGCCTCAAGACCAGCCAGGATGGCCCAAGATGGCCCCGCTGCCGCCTTGCTGCGCACCTCGAGCTGAAACGGCGGCACCTCGGTGACGCACTTGACGCTGCGCCCGGACTTTACCTCGCCCCGACGAGTGACCCATGGGCCGTTGTCGTTGCGGTGGCATGGGCCGCCGATGCCGCCCTCGCATGCGAGGCTGTTGCAAAAGTTGGTGTGGTCGCCGACCTGAAAGGTCTGCCCATCGGGGCAGGTGCAGCTGCCGCCCCACACGCCAGCGTCTTCGGCGATGAGGTGCTGTAGGCGCACGCCCGCCACCCGAAAGCCACTTAGGCACAACTCGGGCGGAGGCGACGGCGGCGGCGGTGGAGGCAGCGGCATGGGCGGCCGCGGCAACGGCGAAGGCGGCGGCGGCGGGAGGGGCTGCGGTGGAGACGGTGGCGGCGGGAGGGGAGCCTCCAGCGCCATGAGGCTTTGTGAGAGCCGGGCGGCGATGACCATCGCACTGACACCGGCGGCAGCGACAAGCATAGTGCAGGCTGCCACCAGCGGCCAGCACATTGCGCACGAGAGGGCTCGCGGGGGCGGCGGCGCTTTGGCCTGCTCGATGTCGAGCGGCGCTTCGGGACCCCCCTGCTCGTCATCGAGGTTCGAGTAGCGCCTGCTCTTCTTCTCTCGCTGCCCTTTCGTCTGGGCTTGCACCGCGCGGACGAGGTTGCCGTTCCCTGCTGGCATTGTGTGTGTCCCCGAAGCGCCCGCCGCGAGTTCTCTACGAGCCGCCTGTGCTTCGGGTCCAGGGGCCCGAGATCTCGGCGCGGCTCTTCTTGTTCGAGCGCTAGCCTACTCCCTCGGTACCTGCACGGCGCCGCCGATGCCCTTACACCCCTGGCCCGGGTGCGGTGCCCGGTGCGCGTCCCAACGGCCTAGTGATTGACGCCCCTCCTTAGTGCTTTTAGTTTTGGACACATGACACACAATCGCAGCGGCCCAGGCTCAGTGTGAGCCGCTCTAGAATCTGGGAGGCACAAAATTTGTGCTCCATTTTTTATTTCTAGGCTGGGAGGTGGGGTCCAGGTGCCCCGTTGGCGCGCTCGTTCTTCTGTTTTCGCCGCCGCAGTTGAGGAAATCGGTGGACGCGACACAAACCCCGCGAATTCTTGCGCGAGGTGCTTACGAGGTGCCCGCGCGGGGCTTCCTGTTCACACTCGTGTGTGGGCCCTTTCTTGGGGCCGCGCCTGCGGCGCGCCGTGGTTTCTTAGATTTTTGCGGAAATCGCGTTAGGGTTTCTAAAAGAAAGAAAGAAAGAAAACGGACAACCCAAGGGAGGGATGGGAGGAGGGTTTCTTGATGCCCGCGATACGCGCGAATTCTTGCCTCAGGTGCCTTGCCAGGGTGCCCGTTGTTGGCGCGCTTCCACCTGCTTCTTCTGCAGTCGCCGCCGCAGAATGTCGAAGCTCGTGACCTGGAGCATGGGCCGGCAGGCTCGTGCGGCGCTTGCGGCGAAGGCAGCAGCTGAGAGCAGCCCAGCGTGGCACTCGGTCAAGCTCCGCGGAGACAAAGTTGTCGTCGCACTCTCCGATGCTGAGGTGCCGCAGCCGCTCAAGCGCGCCACTGCACCGAGCAGCGAGTCGTCGCACGGTGTTCCCGTTGGCACCTTCGTCCACGGCGACTACTGCGCGACGTGCGGCATGGTCGGCGCCACCCTCCACGCGACCCTTCGCCCTCCACCCTCCACGCCACCCATCGCGCCCACTTCACTTCGCCTCCGCCACCAATGGATCCAATCCTGTCGGCGGGTGCGATCACTCGGTGATCAGACCGCTGAGGAAGACGCGCCCACGTCCTCTGAGCCGTCCGCAGGTGGGCCACCTGCACGGCGCAAAGGGCATGCCTTGCGAGGAGCAGCGCGACCCCGAGCTCGAGCACATCTGCGCGACTCTGGACTGGGAGGCTGGCCACTCGACCGGCGTGATCTCGGCGCACCAGTGGGCGCCGCGCGTGAATGGGCGGGCGCCCTGACGGCCGACGGGCCGCAGCTTGCACTCAGGGGGCCGGAGCGGACCTGCTCCGAGAGCGAGAGAGGCAGAGGCGGAGGGCGAGCGAGCGAGAGGCGCGGTGCGGCGATGCTGGGACCGGGGATAGGACCCCCTTGGGCTCTGCTCCCCCGCTCTATACGCTCGGTGGAGCTCCGGTACGCACAACGATCGAGCATTCAGACATGGTTTGTGGTGCGTGCGTCTGTGTGTTTTGTGAGCGGGGGCGCTGATCAGCGTGTCACTGCACGCGGCGTTCAAATGGGAGTAGTGCACATGCGGGGGGGTGGGGCGTGTAACCCTGTGTGTTTCTGTGCATGTGTGCGGTGCGTGGCGGTGGTGCAAATTTATTCACGATGGTGTACAACACTGCAAAACTACACGTAGACGCATGTCCATTAACACCATACGAGGTGTGCGTGTGTGAGACAGGAGTCAGGACTCAGGAGCTGAGGACGAGATAAACCCGCCACATTTCTCGGTTGTCGCTTGACGCTTGCAAGCTCGTCCCTTGTCGGGGGGCGCATGTGTCCGGAAGTGTGTCGAGAGAGTCGAGAGCTGTTTCCTGTTACCTCTCTAATTGAGTGCTACGGCAGACCTCACCGCTCACACCGCGTCAGCGCCCGAAGAGCCGCCCGAGGCTGGCGATCGTCGGCACCACGAGGGGCGTGCGCTGCTCGTAGGCGGCGTAGCGCGGGTCGGAGGCGTAGCGCCTGCGCGCGAGCTCCGCCTAACAAACGAGCGTCGGCTACCTCCCCTGCAGCCCTCCGGCGCGCCGCACCTGCGGGCCAGTTCCGCCTGGTTGGCGATAGCGTCCGTCGCCTGGCCGTAGAAGAGAGAGAGGAGGAAGAGGGGCGAGGCGGCGCCGCCGAGAAGTCTCGCGCCGCGCCGCAGCCAGCCCGCACCTGGTTGCACCACCCCGAGCCGTTGGGCGCAGAGCGAGGAGCCCACCCACCCTCCCTCCCTCCTTCCTTCCCGTCCCTCTCGCTCCCTCGCTTCCTCGCTCGCTCGCTCCCTCTCCCCCGTCCCCGTCTCTCTCCTCTCTCTCTCTCTCTCCCTCTCTCTCTCTCTCTCGCTTCCTCCCGCTCTCTCTCCCGCGCCGGCAGGCAAGTCGGCGGCGAGGGTGGGCACGTTGAGCAGGAAGATGCCGCTCCAGAGGGCGAGGTTGCCAAACCTGTGGCATCTCAGGGGCATGTCGTGCAACATGCACATGCACATGTGCATGCACATGTGCATGCACATGTGCATGCACATGCACATGTGAAGATCGGCTGCATCTCGGCTGCATCTCGCCTAATCGATGCGACCCGGCTGCATCTCGGCTGCATCTCGGCTGCATCTCAGCTGCGTCTCCCACCAGTTCGGGTGCTGCGACGCGGCCCAGACGCCGGCGTCGCAGAAGCGGCCGCGGTTGGCAGGGTCGGCCTTGAAGCACCACTTTGTGTAGTCTGCCGCCGTCTCGGTCAGCAGCCCCGCCGCAAAGAGGCCGAGGCCTGCTCACACAGGAGACGAACCGTGAGCCAGGCGCGGCCCACACCCTTGATGCGCCGCCGCGAGCGGGGCGGACGCCGAGCACGTCGAACGGCCCGCCGAAGCGTGGCCGTCCGGCGGGCACGCCCGCGGCGATCGTGTGCGGGAGAGAGACGACCCAGCCCCAGGCGAAGGAGATGAACCAGAAGCCCGCAGCGCCGCTCGTCGTGGACAGGATCTCGGTCAGTCGACCGTCGTGCTGCGTCTGAAGCGCGCGGTAGAAGAGGAAGGACGAGAGCTTCACGGCCCACAGCGCGACGGCGCCCGCAGAGCAGCGCTGCCGGGCGTCGGCGCCGGCAGTGGCGACCGCCGCGACGGCGAAGACGCCCGTCCCGATGAGGTCGAGGTGCAGGTGAGAGCCCGTCGCCGCAGAGATGCCGAAGCCGAGCGCATTCGCGGAGCCAAAAATCGCGGCCGACTTGAGCAGGGTCGGCTTCCCAGCGAGCGAGGCGGCCGCTCCGGCCGCGGCTGGCGCCGCAGCAGCAGCCTTGGCCGCGGTCGTGAGCATCCGCCTCCGGAGCATTCGTCGGTGCTGGCGGAGGTCGGATGCTGAAGCGCACAGCGTCACTTGGGCCCTGGCCTGGCCCTGCTCGCTGGCTTGGGCCGGCCAACAGCAGAAAAATCAAACCGGTCCTCTCGAAAAATCAGAATGAAGAAAACACGCAAAAAAGAAACGGGAGTTCGTGGTGCCAACACGCCACCTCAATCCGTCCAACCAGCGCGATCACTATGCTCTCCGCGCTCCTCGCCCTGCCCGCCTGGAATCCCGGCCACGACGCGTGCCCAACGGTCACAACCGTCGGCTCGGCCGACTTCAGCCTCGCCGAGTGGGTGCGCAAGAGCTGGTTTATTCAGGAGCAGCAGGTGCTCGACTTCCAGCCGGTGACCTCCAACTACTGCGTCGCCGCCACGTACAATCTGGAGGGCAAGACGGTACCATTCTTCAAGGGCAAGGTGGCGACGGTGTACAACTACGCCAACAACGACCAGGCGCGCGGCCTAGCCGTGGCGGAGGTAGAAGACTGCGCTCGCGCTCGCACGGGAGGAGAGAGAGAGAGAGAGAGAGATCTTTCGGTGCCACTGGCGAGAGGTCTCCCGGCGCGTGCCGGCAGGTGAACGGCCCGCTGACAAACGCCAAGAACATGACGCTCTGCGCGCGGGCCGTCAACACAACCGACTCGTCTCGCCTCGCCGTCGCGCCCTGCCTTTTGCCCAACATCTTAGCCGGGCCGTACTGGATCCTGGGCATCGGCAAGGCAGCCGACGGGAGCTACGACTGGGCGGTCGTCATCGGGGGGCAGCCCGACGTGAAGTGGGAGGACGGCTGCACCACAAAGGAGTCGGGCGTAAACAACGCGGGCCCGCGGCCCTAGATGCTGGAAAGCACAGCTCCCGCCGCATTCTGGCTGCAGGACCCGCGCACTGCGCGCATACACCCTCACCGCGCTCCGCCCCTCCTCCGCCGCGCAGGCCTGTGGCTCTTCTCACGCAAGCCAGTCGCGTCGCCGGAGGCAATCGGCAAGATGCACGCGCTGCTCAAGGCGAAGGGCATCGCGCGCTCGCGCCTGCACAAGGTGGAGCAGGAGGGGTGCACCTACCACGGCTTCAACATGAAGTAAACGAAGGCCGCTGGGCTCCCACCCTATTATATTCGGAACGAGGAGACGTTTGTGCGGCGAGAGCGTGCGCAGCCTGCGCTAGTTGTGATGTTGTTCAAGTGTTCTCACCCCAGCCCATGTGACGCATGAGAGAGAGAGAGAAGATTCATTCTTCTTCAGCCCATGCTCCTCGGTCTACTCTCTGTTGTTACTGGCACTAAGAGAGAGAAAGAACACAGACAACCCAAGGGAGGGATGGGAGGACGTTGTTACTGCCTGTGTGGAGGTTTGTTGCCCCCTCGTCCGCATCGCGACGTCCCGGGGCACATATCTCACATAGTCTGAGGGTATCCTAAAAGTTCGGCCGATTTGGGTCAAAACGCTAAAAGCACGGCTAGCCGTAGATTTGGGGCAAAACGACAAAAGTGGGCCCGCCCGGGGCAAAATGGTAAAAGTCGCGCCGCCGCAGGCGCGCGAAAATTTTGGACATTCTACTCTCCGGCGAATGCCACTAGCCCCCCCAAGCCGGCAGATGGTACCTCGGCAGCTGCAACCAAGCCAGCGGGTGAAGTGTTGTGGGAGGATGCGTCCTTATGTGTCACAAACTTGTAGCGCTACATGTTTGGACACACACCGGCGGGCGCTTTCGAGGGGCGAGCGGCAGCATTCGTTTTTTAGCCATAGTGTGCGGGAACTACTTTGCCGTTGCGGGACGATAGGGATAGCTAGTACTTGCTGCACCCGCGGCGCGCAGCGCCGAAGAAAATTTTGAAACATGCTAAAAGTTGGGCGCTCCGAGACGACCAAAGTGGTAAAAGTCGCACTCTCCCCTGACCCGATCAAAAGCCTAAAGCACCCGAGGCTCCAGAAACCTAACCCTCAGACTATGACATATCTCGAGCCTTCGAGTACCCTGATGCCTGAAACTGCGCATACCACGTCACGAGGAGAACCATAGCGTATAGCGAGGTGCACAGTCGCCGTGTTGAAAACGGCTAGCCTTTCAAAACAGCAAGGGAGCAGGTTCCACTCGATTCCACGCACTGACTCCCACGCCTCCGCCCCCCATGACTCTCCTATGGCTGTGCGCACCGCCGAGGCACGTGCAGTCCAGTGGGCTGCTGAGCACAGCCGCCCTCAAAGGCGCATGACATTCGGTACTGACTGGGTGGGTCCCCGAGGATGTAGCGCGGCTGCCGGGCGTGAGGGAGAGTGGAGCAACAGAATTCACGGCCGGCTCGCTACTACCCGCCAGTCTTTCTTTTTTCGGAAAACTAGAGGGTTTGGCCGGCGCCCCACCCATGGGTTCTGCCGGAGTTTGTTACACGGACGCGTTGTTAGGGAGGTAATGCGACCGCACAGGCGCCTCTCCTGTGACCCATGACCTCGCTACATCAGCGCCGATCCAGCCTCGCGCTGACCACGTTGCACATTGGCGGGGCCGGCTCGGGCAGCGGATCGCCCGTCGACCCGCTCAACGACAAGCTCACTGAGTCTGGACGGTGAGCACCACCGCCCTTCCCGCTACGATGGAGTCCTCGGTCCGCTGACGCGAAAAAAAAAGATTTTCCGGCGACACCCCTCCGACACCCCCCCACATTCGCCAAGCCATCACGAAGAGCATACGCGGTCTCCACGCCCGCGCACTTGAGCCTGCAAGGCATGCCACTCGGCGCGAACCTGTTTTCCAAGGGCGCGCGGTTCGCCGTTCGCAACAACTCGGAGATTACCTCCCTTTCTCACGGCGGGCGCCTGACAATTGCTACGCGATAAGTTTGCGTCAACATTTCAGAGCGGCGCGGCTGGCGTCTGCACGGCCCTGCCGACGTCGCGCCCGTTCCTCGAGTCCTCCAACTTCTTCGAAACACTGGACCTCGACAACGATCTCTCATACTACTCCATCGGGACCACCTATCGCGAGAACCCGGACCTGCCGGGTGCCGTGACGGGCCTCCCTACCCTTCAGGGCAGCCCGCCAGAGGACATCCTGTCGCTGGCCAAGATTGAGACGCACCTCTACCGCGGCGGCGCCGGGATGCGCTATTGCATCCCCCGGCTCGGTATTTATTTAATTGTGATCCCCCCCCGAAGCCCGATCACTCCCTACCGTTTTCGATCCCCGCCTCTGCCTCCTCCTCCTGCCGCCGCCTCGACCAGTCCGCGTCGCTCTCCCGTAAGGCGTCTCGTATGGCGAGCGGAAGGAGTTCACGGCGCTACTCTGCCAGCTGGCAGTCAACGCCCTGCGAGAGTCTCGCGAGGGCGCGGCCGCAGTGTGCGCAACGGTGCACCTGGCTGGCGACCTGAGCGGCGGCATCCTCGATGAGCAGCTCCAGGCGGCGGCGACCGAGTCTCCCGACCTCTTCGTTGTGGAAGGTGTGACCACTGCCGCCGAGGCAGAGGCTGTGGCGGCGGCCCTCGAGCGAAACAAGGCCGCAACCGTGCCGGCGCCCTAGATGCCGAGCGTGCAAGCAGAGCAATAGCGCGCACCACCCGGCTGCGCGTGCCGCTGCTGTAGCCTGCGCGCTTCCCTCGCGGCGCCGCATTGGCACCGCCGTGCGTCCCTGCTGGCAGGTGCCGCACACGTACGTCACGGCCACTGGCCTGACCAAGACGGGGGAAGGGACAGACGAGGTCTGCTTCGACTCCCCGCCCCTGCTCCTGCTCCTGCTGTGAGCTGCGTCTCGTCACGCCCGTGGCCGTGAGCAGGTCGGCTTTGACATCCCCGCCCTCCTCCTGTGCGAGTCTGCGCCGGGCGAGGATGTCGCCCGGGTGGTCTCCGCCGACGAGAGGTTGGTCGGACTCGCGTCGCTCGAGGCTACCCACTTCCCATCTAGACAGCCCAGAGGCTCACCTCCCAGACCAGCGATGGACAGCTTCCCACACAACTCAAGCGGTCCGGTGCCGCAGTCTCACCCGAGCGAGAGGCTCAAGCGCCGCGACTGTGGTCTCCAGGCGCTCGACGAGGGCGATGTAGCGCGGCTGCAGGCGGCGCTCGGCGGCGCGGCTCTGCTGGCCCCGTCGCAGGAGGCAGGCGAGGTGGCGGTGGTGTGAGCGCACGAGTCTGATCGCCAGCAGCGGTGGCGCGTTTAGTAGTGGGCCGAGCCTGCTCCGCTGCTGCTGTCGCAGCGGCCCTGCCTTCGTGGTAAGTGTGTGTGGCAGCTCGCTGGCGTGGCGCGGCGCGAGAGGTAGGCAGACAACAGATCACTCTCTCAGGACATCTGCATCTGGTATGCGCACTCGCCATCTCCTGTTGTGCGTGTGTGTGTGTGTGTGTGTGTGTGTGTGTGTGTGTGTGTGTGTGTGTGTGTGTGTGTGTGTGTGTGTGTGTGTGTGTGTGTGTGTGTGTGTGTGTGTGTGTGTGTGTGTGTGTGTGTGTGTGTGTGTGTGTGTGTGTGTGTGTGTGTGTGTGTGTGTGTGTGTGTCCTGTGTCGTGTCTGTGTGATTGTCTGTGTCTCGCAGCAACTCGAAGAAGATCTACACTTCCCCAAGCCATAGACTAAAATACGCGTGCACGTTTCATGGTCCCCATTCCCGCCGCAAGAAAGAAAAGCAAGGCACATGGACATGCAGATACTCGTATATGATTCTAGAGAGTGTGGATGCTGAGTTGACGGAAATCGGGAGGGGACGCGACCCACGGTCACAACTCACATATCGGCCCCGAGGTCAGATTCTTCTACTCTGTTGATGACAACACTTGTCTACTCGCCTGGAGCCGAGCAGGAGGGCCCAGCGCAGAACCCCTGGTCAACTCACCCTCCACACCCCGTATGAACATCGGCATCGCAACATGCACATGCACATGGACACGCATGCCCATGCGTGAGATGTGGTTGCTCGTTACCAGGTTGCTGGTTGGGAAGCAAGCACGTCAACGCACAACGGGGCGGATCCACCGAAGACGCCTCGATTTTTCCCTTTTGCCACCGACCGGGAACCGGCTCCATCGCTGTGTGGCACATGCACATGCACATGTCATGTTGTGCATGTTGCACATGTCGTGTTGTGCACATGTACATGTGCATGTGCATGTGCATGTTGTATGCACACACAGACCCCCCCTCACATCCCCGACTCCGCTGTGAACCTCGCGGGGGCTCGAGTCTTGCTCACGCTGCTCCATACCTAAATCTCTAAGGAGCAGCTGTGGATCGCGTCACGCCAACCTCTACCGGTACCCCCCACCGGGCCGGGGGGGGCCGGGGCGGGTCGACTCCTCGAGACCTCGAGGAGAGCGCCATCACCTGGCGCGACCTTATTAGGACCAACAACATCGCATGGAGTCCCTCCCTCTGACGACCGGCACGGCTGTGCCGCAGCAAGCCGGCAGCACGCTCAAGCGCATCGTAGCCTTTTGCCTCACCCTCAGCGCCGGCGCTCTCCTCGGCGCGTCCATCTCACGCTCCGGCGCTCCAGCGAAGGAACGGACAGACTCATCGCGTGCCGGCAAGACGCCCATCCCATCGCTTGGCGAGGCCCTCGGACAGATCCCAACGGGCATCGGCTCCGATCTCAGCGAGGCGCTCACTGCCGCCGCCTCACCGCCTCTTCCATGTCACCGCCGCCGCCCTCGCCGCCGCTGCCCTCGCCGCTGCCACCCTCGCCGCCACCGCCCTCGCCGCCGCTTCCCTCACCACGGCTGCCCTCACGTGACGCATCGAGGACTCTGTGCCGTAGGGCTACAAGGCGAATCCGTTCTACTTTGATCCGTCCCTGTGCGCCACCCCGCCGCCTCTTCGTCTCCCGCCGCCTCTCCCGCCTCCCCCTTCTCCCCTCCCAACGTCCCCGCCTCGCCTCCATCCCTCCTGCTCCCCGCAGGCGAGACCACGTCAAGCTCACGGTGACGCCGTCCAACACGGGCTGCGGTGCTCCTCGTGCTTGCGTGCCTGCCACTCACTCTGTCTCCCTCTCCTCCGACCTCTCTCCCGCCGCCGCTGCCCTCGCCACCGCCTCTCCCTGCCTCACTCCGCGCCCACTCCCCCGTATCACTCGCTGCCGGCTTCCCTCGCCGCCTCACCGCACCAGCGCTGCCCTCTGGCCACCGCCGCCCTCCCGAGCTCAGGCGAGGGCGGCAAGCAGCTCATCAAGCCATTCTACATCAACTCGGCCAAGGGCGAGCGCCAAGACCCTTCCAGCGACGCTTCCTAGGTTTAGTCCACGACACGTCCCTGACATGTCCCGCCAGTCCCGCCAGGCGACGCCAAGACCTTCCAGTGGTGCGACGATGGCGCACCGCTGACCTGCACCACGCCGCGGCCTCTCCAGGACACGTCCACGACACGTCCGAGACACGTCCGCAGGCACTTGCCACCTGAGCCTCGAGATTAGTTAATTAACGATCCTTAATTGATTCGTTGATTAACGCAGGCACCTGCCACCTGAGCTTCGAGATTAATTAATCAACGATCCTTCATTAATTAGTTGATTAACGCAGGCACCTGCCACCTGAGCCTCGAGATGGGGGGCGACACGCTGCACAACGACGTGCGCTGCGATAGTTTGACACACGGCCTGCAGACTCAGACACCGGCGCAATTGGGGTGGACGAAAGACAGGAGAGGAAGGCCACGCCACAGCGGCACACACACCACACCGCACAAGACACGCTTCGCCAGCTAAGCTTCCTAAAGCTGCGCGGCTGGTGTGAGCAGCGCCTCTTCACACCTCTGGCTGTGAACAGGTCGGCTTCCTCAAGCTGCGCGGCTGCCCGCTGCACGAGGGCTACACGGTGCCGTACTTGCGCGTGATGAAGGCGCGGAGCCGCGAGCTGCCTCACACCCTGGGACGCCCGAGGGCGAGACGAGATGCGAGAGGACGCGAGGCCACCCGAGATGACCACCCGAGATGACCTCGAGAGCAGGTGCTGCTCGCGAGCTACGACAAGCTGCACATTGGCTGGGGCGCCTGCAGCGAGGCGCGCAGTTCCCCGCCCAACCCGCCACCCCCTCGCCACCCCCTTGCCACCCCTTCGCCACCCCCTCGCCACCCCCTCGCCACCCCCTCGCCACCCCCTCGCCCCCCTCGCCCCCCCTCGCCCTCCGCCCCTCCCCCCTCTCTCGCCCCTCTCCAGGCGGAGACCTCGTGCGAGGTGGGGCCAGACGTCTCGATGTCGCCCGGCGAGTGCAAGACGCTGACGCACCCCTCCAAGCCGTCGATGAAGTGCCGCCGCGCACCTCCCTAGCTCCCTTACACCTCCCTGCCTGTGACGGCGCAGCCGCCTCTCGGCGACCTCTCGGCGACCTCTCGTCCTCTGGCTGTAGGTACGACGTCTGCTACGACGGCCCCGGCGTCTACTGAGGCCACGAGGCCGCGCTCGCGGGAGGGGCTCATGCCTCACGGTCATGCAAAGCATGGGTGGCTCTGTGCATCGATGGCCCAAGAGCCGGCGCGCCGCGCGCGACATGTCAGTGTCATGTCACCGAACGAGAATGTCGTGTATCTCTCGCAATTCATGTTATTTCGATATGATAAGGATATGTTGTGTCCCCCAGAGGCGGCTCTGTGCTCTCTCAGTCTCACACACTCACACACTCTCTCTCGAAACACGAAACGTCACACTGACACGTGACAGGCGACGTACGGCTTTACAGTATACTGTGTACTGTTACGCGTGTGGTCCAAACACTGGGTAGGACACCTTGGTCGGCAAATTCCTTACCAGCCTCCACACGCTCCAGCCTCCAGGAGAGTCCAATCCCGCGCGCCACATACCTCACTTGTCAAAACTCCCACCCACCCACCCCACCCCCTCACCCCTCCACTTCCCCGTGGTACTCTGTGCTCACTGTTGCTGCATGCCCGTTGCGTACGCACTCTCTATGCGCGCTGAGCCGCCTCCACCGCCATCCTGGCGGCCGCCGCCTTGGCCCTCGCAGCGGCAGTGGCCGCGCGCCTCTCCTTGGCAACGGCCAGTTTCGCCTCGGCCGCCGCCGCTTCGGCCGCGGCCGCCGCCGCTGCCGCCGCCGCTGCCGCCGCCGCCGCCTCAGTCACCGCTTCCTCCTCTGCGGCAGCCTCGTCCTCCGCCTCCGCCTCCGCCTCCGCCGCCTCCGCCTCCTCGGCCAAGCGAGCCGCCTCGGCCACCTCTGCCGACGCCGCCGCCTGGCTCTCCGCCGTGATGCCAAACCGCATCCTCTCCTCGGTGAGCGTCTCGAGAAGCAGGAGGATCCTCGCCTCCTCGGCCTTCTTCGCCGCCTCGGCTGCGTCTGCCGCCGACGGCGCCTCGGCAACCTCCTCGGGCTCCTGCGACGGCCCAGCCCCGCCCGCCCCCCCGCCCTTCTTCTTCTTCTTCTTGCCCTTCTTGCCCTTGGCGCGCTTCTCCGCCTCGACCTCCGCCAGCAGCTCCTCCGCGTGCCGCGCCGCCTCCTTCTCCTCCGCCGCCCTCTGCGCCGCCCTCTCCGCCGCGCCCGCGGCCCACGCCGCCTCCGCCGCTGCCTTCTCCGCCGCCTCCGCCACCTTCTTCGCCGCCTCCGCCGCCGCCTTCTCGGCCGCCGCATGCTCCTCGAGGGCGCGCACGCACTTGGTGTGGCCCTGCTCCTTGGCCCACTGCAGCGCGGTCTTGCCACTCGTGTTGCACACCGTCACATCTGCGCCCGCCCGCAGCAGCTGACGCACGACGGTGAGGTGGCCGCGGAAAGCGGCCTGAATCAGCGCGGTGTCGCCGCCGGTGGCCTGCTGGTCGATCGCCGCGCCGTGTCTGATCAGCGTGTCGACCACTTTCTCCTGGCCTCTGCCGGCGGCGGTCATCAGCGCGGTGCTGCCGAAAGCTGCTTGCTGGTTGATCTCCGCGCCGTGCCGCAACGCCAACTCGACCAGCTTCTCGAAGCCATTCGCGGCGGCGAGACTCAGCGCGGTGGCGCCTTTGCTGGTCTGCAACGAGACATCCGCGCCGCGCTGGAGCAGCGCCTCGGCCAGCCCCTCGTGGCCATGGGCCATTGCGACCATCAGCAGCGTCACGCCGCTCTCAGGCCTGTCCGAAAAGACGTACACGAACCTCGCGTCGACCCGCCCGCCGCCGTCGAGCCACGCCAGCACAACCGCCTCATCGCCTCGCCGAGCCGTTTGCACAACCTCCTCTGGCACCGCCCCGCCGCTCGGCTCGGCCTCCGCGCCACCCTCGCCGCTCGAAGCAGAGGCCGCAGCAATCGTACCCACCGCCGCGCCTGCGCCGCCTGCCTCGGCCGACGGCGCCTTGCTCCGGACCGCAGCCACCTCCCCGAGGTATGTCTTGAAGGCCTGGACGCACTCGGCGTGGCCCTCCTCCTTGGCCAACTGCAGCGCCGTCGCGCCCGCCGCGTCGCGCAACGTCATGTCTGCGCCCGCCCGCAGAAGGCGGAGCACGACAGCGGGGCGGTTGCACGCTGCGGCGAGAATCAGCGCGGTGTCACCGTCCTTGTGTTGCAGGTCGATCTCCGCGCCACGCCGCAGCAGCAGGTCGACCATCCGCTCTTGCCCTCCCTGCGCCGCCGCTGCCAGCGCCGGGTAGGCGGCGGAGTCTTGTGGGTTCAACTCCGCTCCGTGCTGCAGCAGCATCTCCACCACCCGCTCGCGGCCGCAGTAGGCTGCAGTGCTGAGCGCAGTGGTGCCGAGACTGGTTTGCAGGTTGATGTCGGCATCGCGCTTCAGGAGGAGCTCGACAATCTGCGCGTGCCCGTTCTGTGCGGCGAGCATCAGCAGGGTGCATGGAATCTGACGGCCGCTGACCTCAGAGGGCCGCTCAGCGAGAGTGTCGGCCTTCCCGCCGACATTCAGCCACGATCGCACCGGTCCCAAGCGGCCGTTCTCGGCCGCCTTGAGGACGTTCTTTGGGACTTCGCCACCCGGCGCGCTGTCAGCCGACGGCGGCGGCGGCGTGCGGAGCGCGGCGTTGGCGCGGGAGCGAGAGGTGGGCATGTACGTCGGAGGCTTGTGGGTCGGCAACACGCGATCCTGGCTTTCTTTTATGTCTTGAGCACTGCTCGACGGCTCCTGTAGGCTGTGTTTTGCCGGTTCTGGCCCGTTTACTCAGGCACAAAAATCGTACACACGCGGACCGGCTCAGGGGCTCAGAAAGGTAGCCGCGGAATCGCCAAAAGCTGGACCTAGATCCTAGTCACCACAATTAATCTGCGGCTAGGCTGACCGATCCCGTCCATTCTCCGCGACATCCTCTCCGCAGCGGGGGAAACGGCGGAGGCGGGAAGGGCGAAGGGGGCGACGGGGCCGGCGAAAATGGCGGAGGCGCCGAGGGAGGCGGCGGCGAGGGATTATTACAATTTTTACCCAAAGATCGGCACTTCGTCGACGTCAATGGTCAACGGAGTGGGATTTGGTTTTGTGGTGAACCGCATACAACATGCAGAACCCCGTTAGGAACGCGAAGTACGCCCCCCAAAGGACGGCCATGATGGTCCCTGGAGCGGCCGCACACTGCTCGGTACCCCCCCTGCACATTTAAAGCCATGGCCGACCCCCCCCCCCCCCCCGCAATCATCCGCCAAGCCCCCACGCATTCCTCAGCGCCCCGAGGCACACCAATGCCGTACGCGAGGTGTGTAGGCCGTCCTATATAGTGTGCTGTCAAGTGTGGCTTGTATTTTAAGAATTCTTTTGTCGTGCCAGTGTGCTGTGAGAGAGGCTTGTATCTTAAGAATTCTTTTCCGAGCGCAACGCCTTTATGCTGGTGGGCGCCGCCGCCGGTTTTTGGCGCGCGGCGCGCGGGGCTTTCTGTTTTCGCGTATTAGTGCCAGTCAGGCGAAAATGGAGCTCGGCTAGGGTTGCGCAGCTATGAACAGGAGCGAGTTCGCGCTGCGCTAGGCTCAGACGGCGAGTTCGCGCTGCGCTAGGCTCAGTACGGCGAGGAGTTCGCGCTGTGCGCGGCCTGACAGCTGACTCTCTTGCGGGCGGCCTGACTCTCTCTAGTCTCTTGCGGAGATTTTATCTCTCGACTCTCTCGCCGGTCTCTCGGGCTGCGCGTTGGGCGTTGGCTCGCCAAGCAAACACGCACCGATCGTCCGGGTTCTGTCGAGCGTTCGCGGTGCGGGCCGGGCCCGGCGGAGGCGAAAGCGCGAGAAAGGCTTGCGAGAGAGGGCGAGAGCGGCTAGTGCGAGAGTTAGCTCTCGACACGACACGACAGGGACACAGACACAGACACAGACACAGACACAGACATATACACACACACTGCGCTCCACCCAGCTCCCGCGTGGGCAGGGAGACGCGAGCCCGACGGAGTAGCACTTGAGCACTTGATAGGGTCGATTCCGCATGGTACGGGACCCCTCGATCGTCTCGCCCTCCCTCACTGGTGTGTTCATTGGGGGGGGTCATAACAAACACGGTACACAGGATCGAGGTGCACGCTGCAGAAGCAGTGTCATCCCCCCTCTCCCCGACGGCGATGGCGGTGTGACCGATCGAGCTACAAGAGGAGCTTGTTCAGCAGGATCCGGGACAGGTCTGATGCACTACCTCACTGGGCCTGAGACCACCGAGACAACGCCCGTCACCGTCTCGGGTTTGCGTGGGGTCGAACCACTCCGGGATGAGCAAGCTCATCGACATCGTTTTGTCAGTCTTGGAGAACCCTGTCCACGCCTGAGGATTCTGCACTAGCGATTCTGCCACCCAAGACAGGATTCTGTATGCGGAGGCTCGAGAGGGATTCGTGTCCGTTTACCGTTTCTTCTGATTCTCACTCTCCTTTTCCGGTTCTGCCTACTCGATCTGATTCTGCCCGTCCCCTTTCCACGCACTCAGCCTCCGGGCAGGATTCCTCACCCAGCTTCCGTTTCTGCCTACTCGATCTGATTCTGTCCGTCCGATTCTCGCCTTATCAGATTCTGTCGCGCGGTTGCGGTTTCTGCCTCCGGATGCCGGAAAGGGAATTTTCCGCTCTGCCCGCCGATTTCTTGGCAACCCGGCTGGACTCTCGTTTCCTGATTCCTGTTTTTGCCCGTCGAGGGGCGGTAGCCCGGCCGGCCGGCCATCTGGGCATGCTCACTCAACCAATCACGCTCATGTGTACGCGCCGTATCCTCCGCGCCACCCACTTTGCCATCGAAGTGCGCTCCGCGCTCCGCACAGTACAGTCACTTTTGAACGGCGGCTCATCACACGTGCGTCAGAGATCTCATGGGCGGTGGCATGGTGGAGCCAGAGCAGTGCGCGGCCGATCTTAATTCTAGGCAGGCGGTCTCCCATTCCCGCGGGCGCTTGGTGCCGGGGTCTGAACGGCATGCCGGCGTCAGATGCAGCTTGGCGCCGGCCTTAGGCGGCTCCCGTGGTGTACCTGAGGTAGTGCCAGTGCGCGCCAGTCGTGTCCAGGAGCACTTGGAGCACTTGGAGTGCAGTTGGCAGCCTCACATCCAGGGCCGGGGAGCTGAGAAGCGCACCCAGCGGGCCGGTGCGGAGCAGGGTAACGAGCGCGTACGAGATGGACCTAGCACGACACGTGACGAACAGGGCATGCATCTACATGCATGAGGAGGAGGGGCAGGCGCCGGAGATCCGAGACAGGAGGCTGTATCAAGAGGCGAAGGAGAAAATTGGACGGCGGGTACGAAAGCGGCTGGACGGCGGGCACGCAGCGCGAAAGGGAGGAGACGACAACGTGTGGAGGACGGTAATCAAGGCGACGGGGACGATATCAGGCGACACGAGATACGAGGGAGACAGAGAACGGGGTCCAAACTCGACCCAGCGCCAGCCTGAGGCCTGCTAGGGAAAAAAAGGGTTTAAAAAGGCGAGGCTAAGGCTGGTACACGGCATGCGGACGGGACAGACCCGAGGTATAGAGCACGGGAGGCGATGGAGGGCCAGCCTAGAGGCAGAGGCGCGGAAGTCAAGGAGGCGAACACTCGCCCACACCGCAGAGTGCGAAGCCCAGGCGCTCGCTGTACGCGCCATTGCTGGGGCGACGAAGAGGTGCGCAGGGAGAAGGGAGGGCGACGAGGAATGGGAGGCGATGGAGCAACTGCTAGCTGGACGACTGCCCGAGCCGAGTGTGATGGACCCGGACCCGCAAGAAGATCCTGGGCGTGGTTTGGCAAGCGCCTCGGTTTTGGCGATGTTTGGGGCAGCGACACCTGCGCGATGGCCTCCAGCAGCTCGCCACCGCCCATCCCGCTCTTCAAGGTGTTTGTCGCGCCTCCAGAGGAGCTCGACGACGAGCTCTTGCGCGTCGTGCACTCGGGATACGTCACGCAGGGTCCAAAGGTCGAGGCGTTTGAGGAGGCGCTGCGAGCCTTCCTGCAGAGCCCTCGTGTGGTGACGGTCAACTCCGGCACGTCTGCGCTGCACCTCGCGCTGCACCTGCTGAAGCGCGCCGAGGGCGGCTGGCCCGGCCTTCAAGAGAGCGTCGACGAGGTGCTCACCTGCCCGCTCACGTGCACTGCGACCAACTGGCCGATCCTCGCCAACGGGCTGCGGATCAAGTGGGTCGACGCGGACCCGGCGACGGCGAACGTCTGCCTCGACGACCTCGAGGCCAAGCTCTCGCCCACCACCAAGGTGATCATGGTGGTGCACTGGGGCGGGTCACCCGTCGACTTGGGACGGCTCGCCGCGATCCAGGAGCGGTGTTTCTCGCGGTTCGGCTTCCGGCCGGCGGTGATCGAGGACTGCGCGCACGCGTTTGGCGCCGAGTGGGGCGGCAGGAAGCTCGGCTCGCACGGCAACTTTTGCTGCTTCTCGCTCCAGGCCATCAAGCACGTGACTGCGGTCGACGGCGGAGTGCTGATTGCGCCGACGCAGCGCCTCTTTGAGCGCGCGCGGCTGGTGCGCTGGTTCGGCATCGACCGCGAGAGGAGGTCTGGCGGCGGAGACTTTCGGATGGAGCCGCCGGTGGAGGAGTTCGGCTTCAAGTTCCACATGAACGACGTCAACGCGACGGTGGGGGAGGCCAACCTGCGCCACGCGCCGCGCCTGCTCGCAGCCTGCCGCGCCAACGCCGAGTTCTACCAGCGCTCGCTCGCCGGGCTGCCGCACGTGACGCTGCTGCGCGACCTGCCCGTCGGCGCGGTGTCGGCCTACTGGCTCTTCACGCTGCGCGTGCCGCAGGGGCTGCGCGCTTCGCTGATCTCGCACCTGCGCGAGGCGAGATCCGCCGAGATCCGCCGAGATCCGCCGAGATCCGCCGAGATCCGCCGAGATCCGCCGAGATCCGCCGAGATCCGCCGAGATCCGCCGAGGTCCGCCGAGGTCCGAGATGGACCGCCCGACCGACGGCGCCCGCTTGCGCGAGGCGGGCACCATAGCCGCTCAACCCACGAACTCACTCCCTGCTTGGGGTGCTGGCGCGAGGCGTCGCCTCCTAACCCCTTCCACCAGCGCCTGGCCCGAAGCCGTTACCCCTTACCCCGCACCCCGAACCCCACCCCCAACCCTGACCCTAGGCCGGCATCGCCTCCTCCGCCGTCCACCAGCGCAACGACCTCCACCCGTGCGTCGCCTCTGTCGCGACGCGGCTGCCGCAGCTCAACAGCCTCGCCGAGGAGATCCTCTGCCTCCCCGTCGGCTGGTGGGTCGGGCCTGCGGAGCGGGAGCGCGTCGTCTGCGCGGTGCGGAGCTGGGCGGAGGCGCCGCCGCAGCGAGCCCTCGCGGCGGTTCCGGGGGCGCGCGCCGGGCTTGGCGCGCGCAAGCGGTGCATCATCACCGGCGGTTGCGGCTTCATCGGGCGCCGCACCCGCCGGGCCCCAGCTGAGTACTGACAGGCCTGGCAGTGTGTTGGCGTCAGGGAGAGGGGTGAGTGCGGTAGGCACCACACGGTCGAGCACTTCGTCCGCAACACCGACTTCGAGGTCGTCGTCCTCGACAAGCTCTCGTACGCCTCCAAGGGCTACGACCGGCTGCGCGACTCTGGCGTCTTCCACCTGATCCAGACGTACTGCGTCGACCTCGCCTCCGCCCTCCCGCCAGGGCTCGTGTGCACAGACGCTGAAACACGGACTCTTGTACTCCAACTAGCGCTCGAGGGGACACGTACTCCACTGTACTCGACCGTCTCCCGCTGTACTCCGTGCATTCGTGCCCCCTCGTGTTCACACGGTGCTCTGAATGCTCTGCACGATACCGTCCTCCCGGCCTGATGTTGGCGCATTCAGCACGCAGGCTTGTGTACGAGCTGGAGCCGGACCGCGTGGCGGTGATCCTGCACATCGCCGCGGAGACGCACGTCGACAACTCGATCGACTCGCCCGTCCCCTTCGTCGAGAACAACATCAAGTCCACGCTCACCATGCTCGAGTTTGCGCGCACGCTGCCGCAGCTGACCCACTTCGTCTACTTCTCCACGGACGAGGTGTACGGCTCGGCGGAGGAGGGGCAGGCGTTCAAGGAGCCTGGCCGGCCTAGATGCTGGACACCGCCCCAGCGTGTGCGCCGATCCGCACTGAGACGAGGCCGCGTCTTCGGCTGTTTTGCGGTCAGCTGTGTTGACGTATGGAGCGTGCTTTCCCATACGTCTAACAAGCTGGACTCGCCGTCCCTGCCGCCTTGTTGTCGCAGGAGGGGGACGCGCACAAGCCGTCCAACCCGTACTCGGCCTCCAAGTCGGCGGCCGAGATGATCTGCCAGTCGTACTTCAACACGTACCGCGTGCCGCTCGTGACGATGAACGTGATGAACGCGTTCGGCGAGCGGCAGCACCCCGAGAAGTTCATCCCGCTCTGCATCTCGCGCATCCTCCGCGGCGAGATCGCAATCTCCCGCGCGGCGGCCCCCTCGAGGAGCCTTCTCGGAGCCGTCTTTGCCCCCCCCCCCCCCTTCCCCTCCAGGCGAGAAGCTGACCATCCACGCCTACGACGGCTCGCTCCGCGCGGGCTCCCGCTTCTACATCCACGCGCGCAACATCGCCGCGGCGGTCCTCTTTGTGCTGCACAAGGCCGAGCTCGGCGAAAAGTACAACGTCAAGGGGGAGGCGGAGCTCGACAACCTCGAGGTGGCCCGCTCACCCACGCGCACTGGGCCTTTGCACTTTGAATGCCGTGGGGCTCCTGTCGTTAGACGTGGAGTCGCGAGGGTCGCCCCCCCTTGCCCCACCACCTCGTGTGTGTGGAGACGTGTACCTTCCCTTCCCTTGCCTTAGGTGGCCCGCTTCATCGCGGCGGAGCTGGGCCGCGAGCTGGTCTACGAGATGCACGACCGGCCAGACACGCGACCCGGCCACGACCTGCGCTACTCGCTCGACGGGACCAAGCTCGAGGAGCTCGGGTGGAAGCTGCCCTTCACCTTTGAGGAGTCGCTGCGCAAGACGATCCGGTGGACGATCGAGAACCCTCGCTGGCTGGACGGCGACGGGCTCTTCGCCGCGCCCTCGTCCAAGCTGTGAGGCGGCAGAGACTGGCGGACGAGAAAGCGGCAGTGGCGAGAGGAGGGGGCACAGTAGGGGGTACAGGGATGTGCCACCTGCCAGCGCTCAGATGTGTGTGGCCAAGCATGTGTTTGTGTTACCGCGCAGCGCGCTGTGTGTGTTTGCGTGTGTGAATGTGAAGCGAGGGCAGGCTTATTTACGGCTACACATTTATGTATCTATGTGGTAGTGGTAAAGTGGAAAACTGTGGAAAACTAAAAGCGGTTCACTCACATGCCATGCGCGCGGACACGGAGATTCTACCCCGGCAGCGACCCCTATGGAATTTAATATGCGAGCGACCAGGCGCGGTGACACTTGTGACTGGCAGGCTGGGGAAAGAGCGCGAGCACTAGTACAGCAGGTGCGTGCCGAGGTGCGTGTGGGGGCGTGGGCGAGGAGCGACCACGATACAGCACGCAAGCCGACCGGGCACGGAAGAGCCGCAGTCTCTCCTCGGCGGTGCGGCAGCGCACGCGCGCCCAGCCCTTTAGTAAGAGCCGCGAAGGAACTGCCCTGCGCCGAGCTCTGGCACCACGGCCTCCGGTCAGGTGGTGGATTGAGCGCGGCCTAGCCGGCGTCGCTGCTTCCCGCGGGCGTGTCGGCGTAGTAGGGCGGCTTGCGCAGCGAGATTCCGTTTTCGCGGCAAGCCTGCGCCAGGTCCTCGGTGGTGAGCACGAGCCGCACGTCGCCCTTCCGCGCTGCCTGGCGGTTCTTGCAGTGCTGCAGGGCGTCGTTTGTGAGGTCAGCCACAAACTTGTGCGTCGCGAGCGACACGAGCCGCACAAGCCGCTCGTCCGTCGCCTGGAAGCCCGACTGCGCCAAGAAGTGCGCGGTCACCTCCTCGGGAATCGCGGGCGTGTAGTCGCCCATCGCGAGCAGCAGCTCCTCCGCCGTCTTCTCGTCGTCCGTCATCGCGGAGGCGCTCGACGCCGCCATTGACCCAGTAAATCAACAAAAAGAATTTTACTAGCCGTCAGACAAGGCGGCTTCCTTAGAAACCGTCGTCCGCGCCACAAAAAGAATTTTCCAACCCCAGAGCGTGACAAAAAATAATTCGTTATAAAGATATAAAGTCTAGCTCAAAAGAATTCGGGCGAAGACTCTCGTCCTCTCCGGCGCTGCCATCCCTCCCATGGGTTGTGTCTGCTTTCTTTCTTTTCTTTCTTTACTGTCCTTGCACAGACAAAGCAAACACCCACCGGCATAACACGAACCGAGCTAGATGCACAGAGACATGAGAGTACGCCGGCTCAGTCAGAACAAACAACACAAATCGAATGTCAAAAAGGGAGGCACGCCAGGGAACGCGTATAGGTGTGTATCAGGGCTCCCCGAAGCCAAACTTGACCCACTTCCCCGCGTGCCCCGGTTTCGCATCCATGCCCGTCGCCGTCGCCACGGCGGCCCGCTCGGCTCTGTCCAGCCCGAGCAGAAAGTCGATGTCGTCGAAGCCCTCGGAGTCAAACGCGGCGGTGTAGGACTGCAGCCCGATGCGCCCGAGCGCGTCGGCGACGGCCGCCATGCCGCCATTGTCGAGAGGCGCCTCCTTGCGGACGGTGCGGCCGTCGGGCAGGAGCTCGAAGAGGCGGCTCGGAGGCAGGGAGGGCGCGGCAGGGGCAAAGGGGGAGGCGGCGGCGGCGGCGGCGGCGGCGGGAATGGAAGGGGCGGTGGGCTCTAGCGCAGGCGCAGCGGCAGACTCGCGCGGGCGCTTCGCGGGGCGCGGCGGCGGCGCCAACCCCTCCTCGCCGACCGCCCGCGCGTACGCCACCGCCGCCTCCACCGCCGAGCCAAAGCAGCCGATGTAGACATCCTTGCCGTCCACCCTGCCCGCGCCTCGAAGCGGCTAGAGAAGGAGTGCTTGCGCACGCCTGAGTAGCCGGTGCTGCTGTTGCTCGAGAGGTGTAAGCGCAAGCCCTCCGCCTCTGTCGCCACCGCCGGAGGCTGGTACTCGCCGACCGCGCGCGCGTACGCCACCGCCGCCTCCACCGCCGTGTCGAAGGAGCCAATGTGTGCACGTTCGCCGCCGATTTTTTTTCCGCCGTTTTTCATTGTTCCCCTTTGCACGTTGGTCCGCGGCCGCCGGCCTCGCAACCCATGGAGCGTTCAGAGGTTCAGGAGCAAGCCAAACAAACCAGCGGGGTGGTACGGAGGATGGGGCTCGCCATCATCGTGCTCGCCACCATCGTGCTCGCAGTCAGCATCGTCGCTGGCGTTTGCGGGGCTGGCCTGTGTGGCTCAGATCCGACGCCGCCCTCCCCTCCGCCCTCCTCTCCGCCCTTCTCGCCTCCGACTTCGGACGAAGAAATCAAGGCCGCCTTAACAAGCCGACCTGGCGAGGCCTTCATCCTGACTTGCCGGCAAGCGAAAGAGTTTGGCTTGTGCCAGGCGAGCCCAGTATGCGACGGGGCGTGCGTCGAGGTCGTGCTGAGCTTCTGCCACGAGACTTGCCCTGCCACTTCAGAGTCTTACACAAATACCACTGACGTAGAGCTTGGGCCGTCCGATGTGGACAACTTATTGCCGATCCCCATCGAGCGGATGAACACAGAGATGTTGTCCGCGATTGAGGCAGGCACTAGCTCGATCTATTGCGGCAACCAGTGCCGTTGGTATCACGGCTTCTTCGACCGATCCATCGAGGGCACACCAGGCCCGGGCACAGCAGGCTCAGGTGGGTTGAGCCCTCGATGGTGCCGTTGCAATAGGCAAGGAACCGCACTGCCGCGCGTGCCGTACATGACCACCGACCACCCAAAGAAGGGTCCACCTACCGTGCCACCCTCGTGGCTGCCAAATGCGCAATGCTTCGCGGCAGGCTGCGTCTCTCCTATCACTAACTGCACGCCAACGACGATTCTTGGCCAGCCTGTGTGCAGCTCGATTACGTACAAATACGCCAAACCGTTCGACCCGGACTACTGGGCTGACGAGTACTCGACCGAGTACCTGTGCATACTCGGCAACAACGAGAAATTCCCCAAGAGTGTGAGCAAGCGCGAGGTGATGGCAAAGTGCGGGCAAGCAGATGCCGAACAGGAGCATTCCGAGTGTCAGAAGGCGAAGGCTGAGATCGAGAGCGATGGCTCGAAGGTCCTCCACTGCGGGAAGTGCAGCTCGTGCTCGACATTCCACGACATGGCGGTCATGGACAAGACCAAGACCACCATTACGAGTCACATGACCGACTGCTCGGCGAAATGGAGCCTGGGACTCCTCGACTTTCCAAGATTCCCGCCGGATTCCGCCTCCTTGATCAAATGCCTCCGGGAAAAGGGGATCGACTTCACCGAGGACAGTGCGGAAGCGTGGGAGGACCCGGCCAATAAACCGTCGTGTATGCAAACATGGGTCGACAACATTGTCAACGACAAGATGCTCTGTATGTGGCACTGCCTTACGAAGTTCATAAAGACGAAGAACTCTGGCGATTTTGCGCGAGACCAATGCCTCCAATGCGATGAATACACATCTGGTCCAGCATTCATCAAGGGGGCCGGCGCGAATCGCCGCTCAACAGGCATCAGGAGCGACATCAAACGCACGCAGCTTGATGGCACCGAATGGGTGGAGAAGATTTGTCCGATTGGCTTCTATTCGCAACCCCCTCCCGCACTTCCGGAGGCGAGCTCGATCTGCATCACGAACCACGTGAGCTGACTCCAATCGCCGGCGGCCCCGCGCGCCCCCCTCGCTCTCTTGCCCGACCCCTGTTGCCTGTCTCAGGCCTGGTACTCCCTACGCTGGGCTTTCGAGAATTCGTCCGGCAATGTGGTTGGACCCTGGGCTCAATATCCTGTCTTTCATAAGAAGGTGTGCATGGACCTCAACAAGATCATACCGCCCCCGGGTCCGGGAACATACCGCGCCCGGGTCGTTCCCGTTGGGGGATTGGGCCATTACACGACGACGCCGGAAGTGACCTTCAAGCCCGGCGTGGACCGCCAGATCAGCATCACTTGCCGGGGAACCACCCTGAACCCCAGTTGCACGATCGACGGCAAGTGATGTATAGAGGCAATTCCTCCCTGGGGAGCGCAAGCGGTCTGGTCATTAGCTCGAGCCTCAGCTCCTCAACTACTGAGGAGTACGCTAGTTCAAAATGTTGGCAGGGCCGGGGAGGGGAGGGCGGGAGGGGCCTAGGAGCGAGAGCGTGGTCGGAGAACCTTGAAGCCAAGGGGAGTCCAGTTTGGACGGAGCCTTCGTTGCGGTGCGCGAGTCCGCAGGTGCGTAGAGCTCGACACGTCGGGGCGGCATTTAGGGACATTGCAGAGTTGGTTTTGCCTGGCGTGTGTATCGCGTTGGGCGTGAGTTTGTTTTAGATTAGAGGAGTAGGGGCGCCTCCAAGCAAGGTTGTCGCCATGAGGCGCGAGACACAGCTAGCTGTGCATGTGCAGCCTGGCTCACATACCACTCCACGCGTCTCCATCACTTGCCTGTGACCCTGTGGCGTAGAGCCGTATGGATTGTCGGTTTGTGCCCCGCTTGTGCCGCTTGCTGTGTTTTGTCATAAAAAAGGCATACACAGACGGGTCGGAAGACCTAGGGAAAGCAGGGTGGTCTATGCAATACTCAAACTCATCGGGGGTCGGGTGACGCTCGCCATCGGCGAGGAGGGCGCCCTCCCGCGTCGCGCTGACGAGCGAGGGCTACAGTTGTCACTTCGGCGGCGCACCCAGCCTACCTCGGCGCGCGAAAGCATACCAACAACACGGCGGAGCTAACCGCCCTAGCCGAGAGCTCCTCCGGGCTCTCCATCCTCGTTGCGCTGACGACGACACGCACACCAAGAGCAAGACGCACACAAGCCAGGCTCGCGAGACGCAGCTCACACAGCTGGTCAACGACGCACACACCCACGGACCACACTTGGTCGAAAGCACGTGTCGTACAGAACACGCCACCCCGTGGCAAACCCTCGAGTCGCGGCCGCGCTACATGCGCGACGCGTTACCGGCCGCAACCTCGGGGCAGCCGAGCGCCTTGGTCGGGCAATCCCACCTACTCTCGGGTCACCTCGGGTCACCTCGGCCAATCTCGGGCGATCTCGGGGGCGATCTCAAAAAAACTCTGACATTTTATGAACTCCTTGGCGACGCGCGCGCCGCGTCGCCAAGGCTCAGCGACCTCGGTCGTACAATCGGCCGGCTGCGCGGGTTTTCGGCGAGTTTCCCGCGCACCGGCCACGACGGACCAACCAGACCAAAAATCGCGACGCTCGCGCGCAAAAATCAGCACAGAATCAACGCTCACGACGCTCTCGATGATCTCGATGATTCGAGGATTTGAGGATGGTGAGGGGTGAGGGTGAGGTGTGCCCCCCCCCTCCCCCCCCGCCCGGCCTCGAACCCGCAGCCAACCGGCCCGAAGGCGAACCTCTGACCGCTACGCCAGCCACCAATGCACAAACCTCGACGCCACAAATTTCGGAACCCCATACACCCATGCACTCAGCTCACAATCAGCACCCTACACAGTATGATTCCCGCGCGTCTCGCGCCCCAACTGACAACTCACCATTGTCCCTCGGACACCACTCTCCAGCCGCGCTACTTTCGCCCACCCACCGCTCTCGCATGACATCTCGACAATCCTCATCTCTGGGCCCAGACTCCTAACCACTTCCCCTGCTCGCCCAGGACCACGAAGCGCCGCCCGCGCGCCCATTGACCCCCCAATCAACCCACGCTGTCCCTCAATCGCCACCCGCCAGATGTACTGCCCTCGCCCACCCAATACTCTCACCCTCCTAACCCGGACAGTCCAGGTACAGGAAAAGCGGGGAGCGGGGCCCGATCCAAGGAGCACCCCGTCGGCCCGGGAGGGCTGTGAATTTCGGCGCGGGCGGAAGGCTGCCTGCAGACGCTCAGCCCCCGGCTGAGCTGCCGAATCCTCCCGGCTAATCCCCTGACCTGCCGCCTGAAACGGGACAACATTACACCACCTCACACACACTCCCCCCTCAGGGCTAAGCAGTGCGCAAGTCCACCCGAACTCTAGGCGAGGCGTCGACCACTCCTTCGGAATAGCTCTGTCAGTGGCTGCACTAGACGCCCAGTGATGGCGCGCGGCGCGGGCGCATGACTGGAAGAGAAAATGCGGAGATGCTAGCTCGCAGGTAGATGTGGGATGTGCTCAGCCAAGGGTAGGGGATGAGGGGAATGTGTCAGTGTGAGGGGTGCACCAACCGCAGAGCGTTGTGTTTTGCCTTTGAAAACTGAACAGTTTTTTTTCCCGTGTGCCCAGAGCCCAGACGCCATTGGCGGGAGAGCCCAGTATAAAAGATAAAGAACCGTAGACGAGGGCTGCCTTTGGGCCGACTTTGTCGCGCATGCAAACAAGCTCTACAAGCCCGCTTTCATTGCGGCGTTCGAAGAAGCTCCTGTGCTGGCAT